AAGGGGTGCGGTCTGCCTTCACTCATCCCATTCTGATGGGGCCTGTGCACTGTCGCTGTCCCTCAGACCCTGGGAGACCCACATTTGTGCTTCCCGTGTGCCCTGAAAGGCGTCAGCTTTTCCCCTGGGTTCCACCCTCCATAAGAGTTGGGTCTAAATTCCTTCTTTTCTTTCCAGCATTTGAGTGATGTGAAGAAATTTTTAAATTACCCTTTTAATGGTTTCAGCTGGAGGGTGGATCCCCTGAGTCACCAGGTCAGTGATGACCACGGTGGCCCCCTGGGGGACCACTTTCTCAACTTACACCTCATCTATAAGGGGGTCACTTTCAGATTCACATCTGGACAGGCCTCTGAACCTCTGGGGGCCTCAGTATATTTACGTTCAGGGTCAGGAGTTGGGAGGGGAAATAGGAAAATTTCTCAGCCACCACACCCCCCAACTACTGTGGAGGCCAAGTTCCCCTTCCAGGACTATCCACAGTCTCTCCCCTTGGGCTTCCTGTTGGGGAATCCTCAGCTCCACCCCAGAGCTGGCACTTCCCTCCCTGACACAGGGACCTGGACCTACTCTGTACTTAGAGGCAGACATGGTGCCCCTGTTGCTGCTGCCCCTGCTTTGGGGGGGTGAGTGGGCCAAGGGACGGGGGATGAGGAAGTGGGAGAGGGATGGGGCTGCATCTGAATTTTGGTCCCACTTGATCTAAAACAATATTAAAATTACCCTTTTCCAGAATGTTCAACAGTTCCAGCTGGAAGGCGGGTCCCCCCGAGTCCCCAGGACCAGCTCTGAGTGTGCCTCCCTCTCTCAGGGTCGCTGCAACAGCAGTCAGGCTTTGAGCTCCAAGTGCAGGAATCCATGACGGTGCAGGAGGGTCTGTGCGTCCACGTGCCCTGCTCCTTCTCCTACCCCTGGAGTTCATGGTCTTCCTCTAGCAAATTCTACACCTATTGGTACTGGAAAGAGGACAACATGCAGTACAGTAAGCCTGTGGCATCAAACAACCCAAATAAACCAGCAAAGGAAGAGACAAAAAGCCGTTTCCTCCTCCCAGACACCAGGAGCAACAACTGTTCCCTGCACATCAGAGATGCCAGGAGGAGTGACGCAAAAATATACGTCTTCCGAATGGAGAGAGAAAGTATGAAATATACTTACAAAGAGAAGATGCTGAATTTGCAGGTGACAGGTAAGGCAGGGGCCCTGGAGAGAAGTCTGAGATGTGGAACTTGGTCTTGGAACAAGACAGGACACTAGGTCACTCACTGTCCAGGCCTTGGGCCCTGGATGGTCGGAAGAGACAGAGGGCCTGGGTGAGCTCAGCCCGAGGCAGGGCCTCTCTCAGGGTCCCGCTCTGAGTCCCCACCCCTGGAGCCCAGGCACCTGCCTTCCTCCCCTGCAGCCCTGAGAGAGAAACCCCACATCCGTGTACGGGAGCCCCTGGAGTCCGGCCACCCCACACAGCTGGCCTGCAGCCTGTCAGGGGCCTGCAAAGGGGGACGACCTCTCACCTTCTCCTGGGCGGGAGCCGCTGTGGACTCACTGGACCCCCAGAACCTCAGCTCCTCGGTGCTCACCTTCACCCCGAGGCCCGGGGACCATGGCACCAACCTCACCTGTCAGGTGAAACGGGAAGGGTCCCAGTGGACCACACAGAGAACCATCCAGCTCGATGTCTCCTGTGAGTGTTGGAGGGGGGGAGGGCTGGGTCCCTAGAGGTAGTGAGAGCAACGTATGTGTGTGAGTGTGTGTGTGTGCAGGAGGCTGAGCTAACCTAAGAACACTCACCCATGGATCTGCGTGTAGGTTGGGACTGTTCCCACTGCCCCTCCTTGGGAATGGGGTGACTTCCAGGTGAAGTGGGGCCCTGTCTTTCTCTCCCAGATGCCCCTCAGAACCTCATCATAGGTGTCTCCTTCAGAAAGGACACAGGTAGGAAAGAACCCCTCCTCTCTGGGCTGGGACCTGCCCCGGGGCCCTGGTGGGGGAGAGGGGGGAGCAGGAGGTTGAATGGGATGAGACATGGGAAGGGCAGGGATGAAAGTCACCACCCCAGTCCTGCACCTCTGGTGGGTGCGTGCCTGACCTGTGCTCCACACACATCTGTCTCTGTCTCTCTCTGTCTCTCTCTCTCTCTCTCTCTCTCTCTCCCCCTCATAACCTTTCTCCCCAAAGCCTATAAGAATCTGCAAACCACTTCCCTTTCCATCCTGGAGGGAGAGGCCCTGAGGCTGCTCTGTGAGGCTGACAGCAACCCCCCTGCCGAGCTGAGCTGGTTCCGGGGGTCCCCAGGCCTGAACGCCACCCCCCTCTCCAGCACCGCGATCCTGGAGCTGCCTCGCGTGGGGCCTGCACAGGAAGGAGAGTTCACCTGCCAAGCTCGGCACAGGCTGGGCTCCCACAGGGTCTCTCTCAGCCTCTCCGTGGTCTGTGAGTGGGGAGACCCCGGGGGGCAGGACAGCTGGGTTCTGGGGAGATTAGAGGCACCGCTGACCCTTCTCCTCGCTCCCCACAGACCCCCCGCAGCTGCTGGGACCCTCCTGCTCCTGGGAGGACCAGGGTCTGCACTGCAGCTGCTCCTCCAGGGCCCAGCCGGCACCCTCCCTGCACTGGAGGCTGGGGGCGGGGCTGCTGGAGGGGAACCATGGCAACGCGTCCCACGTGGTCAGCTCCAGCTCAGAGGGGCCCTGGACCAACAGCTCCCTGAGCATCAAGGAGGGGCTCAGCCCTGACCTCAGACTCAGCTGCGAGGCCTGGAATGTGCAGGGGGCCCAGAGCGCCTCTGTCTTGCTGCTGCCAGGTCAGAAAGGAGTGGGTCAGAGAGAGGGTGGGGCTGGGGAGGGGAGGGGAGCTGTGGCCTGGACAGGGGTGATTGCTAGGACAGGGCCTGCATCTCCTGGCTGAACAGACCTACAGTGCGTCCTGGGAGGAGGTAGGAAGAAGAGAGACCGAGGCCCGGGCGTGGGTGTCTCACCCCCCTCTCCTCTGCAGGGAAGGCCGTGCCCCAGACGGGAGTGGTTCCTGTGGCTCTTGGAGGTGCTGGAGCCCTGGCCCTGCTGTCCCTGTGTTTGTGTCTCATCTTTTGCATGTGAGCCTCTGGGGCAGGGAGGCGCAGGGCTGAGTACATCCAGAGGAGACTGTTTTGGGAGGGCCGAGGGGGTAGCAGCTTTATGGAGGTAAATTCCCACATATTTAAAGTGTACAATTCAGTGGCTTTTCGTTCAGTCACACATCACCACCGTCAATTTTAAAACGTTTCATTTGCTTGAAATAAAAAACAACAACAACAACAAGCAAAAGACACCCACATCCCCTAACTGTTAGTTTCTTTCCATCCGCTCCCAGCCCTAGGCAGCCACTAACTGCTTCCTGTCCATTCTGGACTTTTCATATAAATGGAATCACACAACACATGGTCCCTTGTGATTGATTTCTTTCACTTAGCACGATATTTTCTTTAGTTATTATAATAATTATTTTGTTCTT